TGGATTTATTATCATAGATACAGTAAAGTCTGAGAGTACTGCACACTAAAGTCAGAAGAGGTAGTTTCTCAAAAGATACATTGCTCCTGTTTGCATAGTGTTGGGTTTGGTGCCCAGCAATGCTCTTAGTGCAGTGGGATTTATGCATGTTCATGCTTTGGAGGTCTAACCAACCCCCCACCAATAAGGAAAAGAATCATTTTGTTCCTTTTAATGAACTTTTGAGCAGAATTTAGATGGAAAATCTACTGTGCGGTAAGTGGAACTTACAGCTGCCTGTGTTTAAGTTAACACTTAGCAAATTAACTTAGGACTGGCTGTAGTGAAGCTTACTAAACAATTTCTGATGCAGTAGTCGATTTTCTTATGACAACTTGAACCGTTCTGGATTTTGGGTTAAATAACCCAGCACTGGATAGTTATCCTAGGTGGGGTGAGGCAAATCTGCTTCCTTTGGCTGCTTTTTGAACACATAAATTGTACAAATTCAGTAAAAAACAAACAAGCCAAATGAAAAAAAAAAACAAACAACCAAAGAACAGATCAAAAGCAACATCTTGGTAGTTTTAATGAATGAAATTTGGGGAAGAAGGGAAGTAGAGATGGAGAGGCACAAGCATGCTGCCTTCTGAGACTGCCAGGGCTGAGCAAGGCTTTCTTGCAGGCTTCCCTCTGGGTGGTGCTGGATGGTGCTCTGATGTGCAGTGTAATGCAGGAGGATGTTTGTTCCTTTGTTTCTTCTCTTGCTGAAGCGGTGGAGGAAAGACCCTGACTGAAAGCCCAGGGGTGGAAGAACATGCGGGGATCTGAAGCAAGTGAAATGGGAGACAGGACTGAAAGCAGGTTTATTCAGCACAAGAAAAATGGGAAGGGAACAAGCAATTGGGTAGGTGCTAAGGGATGCGGGAGGGAGTGACGAGGGAAACCAGGGGAGAAGGGAATAGAGGTGCAGAGTAGGAGCAGTGTGAAAGGAGCTGTGGTTGGGTAGGTGCAGAGAAAAGACAGTTCAAGGCTGGGACTCCCCCATGAAAGACCTCCCTCAGCACTGTTTTAACCAAGGCAATAACTGATGTACTATATATATATTGTATAATCATATTATCATAATTATATATATATCATAATATATATATTATGAGGTATAACTAAATACCCTAGTTGCTACTTTTCACTTTGAACAAGCATCTGTGAAGCCTACCAGGCAAATGAGCACCCCCTCCATCTGCTACCGCTGCTTGACCAAACTGTTTACCCTGTTATGTGCAGTTTTTGCATGGGCAGCAGTGATCTCGGAATAGATCCTGACTGTGTGGGCATCAGCAAGGTCCTACATAGTGTTTTATTTTGATTTCCCTCACCACCATCTTGTGTGGGTTTGGTTTTTGATTATTTTCTTTTCAGAGGGGGGTGGTAATTACGAAATAACATTCAAAACTAAACACATTTAAACTCTTTGGTATTCTACAACACAAACATAATCTCTCTGGATACTTCTACAGAGAGGATACAATGCTACTTGGCAAGTGCTTTGTAAATACAACATCTAGAACCTGCCCTCCTTCATCTCTATCGAACCAGCCCAACGCCCTAATGTCTCAGCAGGGTTTATCTCCCATGTCTGCATTCCTTGTAGCTATTTGCAGATTCAGAGATACTCGATGTTCTACTGACTTCCAAACAAACATTCCCCATCTTTCTCTAGAAAGGCAACAAAATGGCTCAGAAGACAGCAGTCACATCCTACACACCTACACCCACAGGCGCACACTGCAGCACTGCATATACTTAAGCTGTCTCTAACACACGTAATTTTACTTATTACTGAGTACTCCTCTCTTCCCCCTTCAATGCCTTGAAAAGATTTGGATGTGCATATGTACACACAGGAGAAGAAAGAGGGAGGTAAGAAAGTGTGGGAATAGGTTTGTCTGCCTCTAGATCCCTCAAATAGAAGTATTGAGCAATCTCTCCAGGTCCAGGTCTAAATCCAAAGCCTGTGGAGGTCACGTTACTAGTGAGGCACGTAGAGTATTTTGGAGGATAATTGTGATCTATAGTTCTACATTTTAAGTGTATCTGTAATAAGGGTGTCACATCACACAAGCATCTCTCTTTACAGTTTGCCATGAAAACTCTGGCATATTTAGACATAAGGAAAAAGGTAGCATGTAAGGAAAGACACCAGCACAGGGTGCCCAGGGAAGCTGTGGCTGCCCCATCCCTGGCAGTGTTCAAGGCCAGGTTGGACACAGGGGCTTGGAGCAACCTCCTCTAGTGGAAGGTGTCCCTGCCCGGGAAAAGGGGTTGGAACTGGTTGATCTTTAGGGTCCCTTCCAATCCAAAACATTCTACAATCCTATTGTATTTAAGCCACATTAGCTAATAAAATTTACACTTCTAAAAAACCCAAACACCTCATCACCATTTTTAGTTACCATTTTCTGTTACATACAGTAATACCATCAAATCTGCAAGGAATTTTAATCATTTGGTTTTCACTTTATACCTTTACATCAAACCCATTTGTTTTTCTTACAATGTGCTCCAACAAGCTAAAAGGTGCCGTGTGTGATCAATGGCACAAGCATCTCTCTTGTACTTCTTGCATTGTGTCAGTCTGGAAAGCTGTAACACTGTTTTGAGTTTAGAAGCCATGTGTTTATGCTGGGGTTGGGAATCATTCACATCCTAGAAGTTTTAAGGTTTCTTTGAGATAAGCCACCTTCATTTTTATTTAGCTTTTGCAGTTTTCTCCCTTAGTTTCTCACTGCTGAAATCAGGTCAGGTACTTAATGAAGGTCATTTTTCTTGGCATGAGATATTGCATTACTTAGGAATTTTGTTCTGTTGAGAAATAACACTGAAATGTACTTCTTTGGGATTACTTTGATATTTTCATTTCCAGCCTAGACTAGGAAGCAGAAGGATGCATGATATGAAAGAAGGCATTAACTGTGGATTTGTAGAGCTCAACAGAAGTTTGTCTCTTAGTTGGACTTCAGTTTTTAAGCAAAATCTGAAGCAGTCTGGATGGGTTGTTCATTCGGCTGTGGCACTTGAGAACATGAAAAACCTTTTCCCTATGACCACCTTAAACCAACACCAGTGTGAGGATCTTGCCATGTTAAAAACTTGGTGAAATTGCATTGAAAGTCTAAAAATAAGTGATGTTTCATGAAGCTTTGTCTCTGAGTACCCTCTTTTTTTATTCTTTTCTTTCTTTTCTCTCAAATCTGGATTTCCAGATGGCACTGGTACAGAGACAAAAGAAATTACTGATTAGAAAATATAGCGTGGTCAAAGGGAAATTTCTTAGCAGGAAAAAAAAGGCTTTGCCTTGAGAAAAATCTAGAGGTTTCTTTGTTGTTTCCATGATCAATGTGACCGTTTTATCTTGCGGGAGCTGTAATTCCAGCTCCTTTCCTGTTTCCCTTTCTTTCTAGTGAACATTGCCCTCAAGCAGGTAACTGCGCACTGTGTATGTTTGGCCTCAGGGAAAGTACAGTTTGTCATGGGAAACAGGGGCCAACCAGAGAAGGGGTGGGGGGAAGAGAAATGCCACAATTGAGGCAATGTTCAGTTCAAAATGTCTTATTTCTTGTTCCTATTGAGTCAGCTGCTACACCAGGGATTTGGTGTGCACAACACTTAACAATCAGAAGTGGATTGTTCTAATAACAAACTGCATGAGATTGAGCCTTTCTTTGAATTATTCCAAGAATAATGAATCCTACGAAAGTCAATTCCCAAAACTAGCAGAGAAATGCAATGTATTAAACTTACTGACTTGAGTCATTCTCAGCCAGCTCCTAAGAGATCCTGGTGCAGTGGGGGAGGATACAGACAAATATAATGAAGCATTTTGAGATTTCTATCCTTTAAAACTTCCATTTGGAAGAAAGTTCCAATACTTCGGGGTTTGATCTTTGTTCAAGACAAAAACCAGATGTCAAAACACAGTGATTTCTTTCACATCAACAGCTTACGTTCCTGATAGCTTTAAAGGCTTTTGGAAGTATGATCTTTTTGAGACAGGGTACATTCTTGTCAAGCTGATGAGAATAAAACCTCCATTAATATCTTCATTACTTTTTTACATCTTTCTTGCCCTTCTCAATTATCCTTGTATTTGTATGTTCCCATACTGGCATGTTTTCCAGTGCAATTATTGCTTTCGTTCAGTAGGCTTTGACATCGCCATATGCTAGTGCTGTCACAAACACTACAATCCCTGATTGGAAATGGTCATCAGATTAAAAACGTTTTCTTTAAGTTTACTCTTTGGTTCAAAGGAGTGGGGGAAAACATTTGCAGAAATGAATTTTTAATAGGCATTAAAAATAAAAAGCTGCTACCAAAAATACAGCTTGTCTGCATTATCATGCGATTTTAATTATGCAAGCATTTATGTTCTTCGTGTATTTTGACTTGGGGCCATGTGAGACACATGAGTGAACTGTCACTCACGCACAGTTAATTATAATTTGTCCATATAGGGGAAAAAAAAACCCTTGGGTAAATATGATAACACTTTTCAGTGGCACTAAACACTAGTTGTTGTTAGTCATTTGAGGAAACTATTCTTAGCAGACTATACAAACTCTGGAGATCAAAGTGCTCCCTAAAAAGAGGTGTATTAGCGTGTGGCTAGATCCACTACAGGAACAGATTTTACTGACTGTGGAACTGTATCTTTCTGTACGGTAACGTTCATTTCATTTCTTCTTTCCCTAGAACAAGAGAGTATATTTTGATTCAGTGTTTGGCAATCCAAGCCAGGTTATTCAGAACAGCATTCACTTGGAATGCACCGAGTGTAAAATGCTATTTTTAGAGTAGTTGCTTCTATACAGCATTGCAAACAGAAATTGTCTGTTTTCCATGTAATACAGACCCAGTTTATAGAGTCTTTAGACTTTGCACTTCTTCTTTCCAGGTACATGGCAAATAACTGGTTGTCACTGACACAAAGGGCAACAAATGGATAAAGCAAGCATGAATTCTGAGATCTATAGTTTTTAATAATTTTTAAACTAACTACAAAATGTCAATCACTTCACAAACTGACAGGAGACAGAAGGAATTTCATATTACATGCTGTAAATGATATTTATCTCACAGTTTAGCTAGAGTTCATTCATTTAGGTTTTTTTTTAGTTAGTTTTTCATTGTCAGCTACTAAACATCTCAGCGATTTGGTGTGCATAGCTCTAGGTAAGCAACAGAGAACTGTACCGATAACAAACCACATGGGGATAGCGACTAGTAAGAGAGAGCCTTATAAAAATTACATTTCTTTGCACCATTTCATATGGTAGTCATTTCCTCCAAAAGATAGTCTTCAAAAGCAGCAGACAAACCCAATATATTACACTTATTTCTTTTTGTCTTTGACATATTTTCAGCCAAGCTTTTATTTTGCTGGCAATGGCTAAATGGTGAGTGCCAAATCCCTCTTTTTTTATATATAATTAAAAAATAATGATCATGATTAATAACTATATATATATCAACAAGAAAAAAGTGGCACAACTGCAAACTTGCTGGTATAACATATTCCCAAAAGAGTCCGAATACTGAGCATGCTTTTGTTGTCATTGTTGGTGTGCTACTGCCATGGGAAAACTCTTGTTTAAGTAGGAGTCTAAAAGTCTATTTATTCCTCATGCATAAATGCATAAATCACATCACTTTTTAGTGCAATGCTTGTTATAGTAATATAATTCCACATTGTCTAATCATGAAATCATAACAACAGATAATGGCAATGAAGAACTGAAGACAGCAGGTTTTAAGTGCTTAAACATCATGATACCCAAAGACAGGAGCATGGCAGTAGCTCTGTGGAATGTCACAGTTTTACAAGAACAATACTGTATATTTAAAGGTTAACAGCACGTTTAGCATTCCAACAGTGTTGTCATTCAGCAAACATCATTTAAAAAAATATATGAGGAGAGGGGGGAAAAAGGAAAGGAATCTGAAACGGAAACAAGGAAAGGAAAAATCCCAGAAAACATCATAGTGAGCTATAGCCATCAAATCAGCACTATGTACAACCTTTGGAAAGAAAGATATCTAGAAAAAAATAATTACAAGTATCATTTTTGGAAAGCTGACAAACTACACAGGACAACATTTACAATGGGGCTGATATGTGCATGTGTGCAAACCTAGTAGATAAATACCATGATAAAAGCATGAAGGTACTGCCTTGTTGGACAGCGTTAAAAGGAAATGCACTTCATTGCATTTAACCACTGCCCAGCATCTTTGTTGCACGCTGGTTGGCTTCATCAATCCTGGTTTTGTTGGAATCAGCCTAGGGGAACACAAAGGAAATAAATAGATGAATACAGGGCAGAAAAACGAGCATTTACAGTGCTTTGTAGACACTTCTCCAGTTTTGGCTAAGTCAGGGAAAAAATAAGCTTGAAAATACTAGAGAGCTGGTTTTTATAGTGGTTTTTATAGTGGTATTTATAGTGGTATTAAGGACCCAAAAGGACATTACATATTTAATGGGTTTGTGACACTTCAGGTAGCCTTTGAGTAGAGCTTTTATGTTCGCATTCAGCTTCACTGAGCTCTTGTAAATGCTGTCCCAGATCTGTTGCTGGTGCTATTGATAGAGTGCTAGCGGGATTGATGGTAATGGGTGGCAGGATGAGAACTGATCCTGTGAATTTCACTGGTGAAGAGCTTCAGTGCTTTCTAAGATTCAGTGCACCTGGGTTCTGTTCTAATTTAGATCACCAGGCACGGAGTCAAAACGGAATATTTGGTCAGTGTAGAGAACCGCTGGAGCAGGGAAGCTAGATCATCTGGTATAGGGAGTGCTGTTATCAGTCATGAATCTCTTTGCTCTACAGGTGAAAGGCAGGGATGAGGTAGGAATGATGCCATAATTTCTTTTCTCTCAACAAAGTTCAGCAGTGTAGTCGTGAGACAGAGCAGCCTCTCTCATTGGGCAGCAGCATAAACAGGAATTAAGGAAACCATGCCAAGTGCAAGGTCTTACACCTGGGTCGGAGCAATCCCAGGCACAGCTACAGGTTGGGCAGAGAAGAGATTCAGAGCAGCCCTGCAGAGAAGGACTTCGGGGTGTTGGTTGATGAGAAAATGGACATGAGCCGGCTTCAGTGTGCACTTGCAGCCCAGAAAGCAACCGTATCCTGGGCTGCATCAAAAGGAGTGTGACCAGCAGGTCGAAGGAGGTGATCCTGCCCCTTTATTCTGCTCTTGTGAGACCTCACTTGGAGCACTGTGTACAGTTCTGGTGTCCTCAACATAAAAAGGACATGGAACTGCTGGAACAAGTCCAGAGGAGGCCACGAGGATGATCAGGGGACTGGAGCACCTCCTGTATGAAGATCGGCTGAGCAAATTGGGGCTGTTCAGCCTGGAGAAGAGGAGGCTGCATGGAGACCTCATAGCAGCCTTCCAGTATCTGAAGGGGGCCTATAGGGATGCTGGGCATGGACTCTTCATTAGGGACTGTAGTGACAGGACAAGGGGTAATGGGTTAAAACTTAACAGGGGAAGTTTAGATTGGATATAAGGAGGAAATTCTCTCCTGTGAGGGTGGTGAGGCACTGGAATGGGTTGCCCAGGGAGGTTGTGAATGCTCCATCCCTGGCAGTGTTCAAGTCCAGGTTGGACAGAGCCTTGGGTGGCATGGTTTAGTGTGAGGTGTCCCTGCCCATGGCAGGGGGGTTGGACCTGGGTGATTTTAAGGTCCTTTCCTACCTTAACTATTCTATGATTCTATGAAAGGCATGGATTCTACCATTTTCTGAAACAATCAAACTGGAATTTAGTCCAGTGTAGGTTGACCTATTAACTTCATTGTTTTCCATGGAGTAAGACTTGCTATGATTATAAAACTGCAGAATGGTTAGGTTTGGAAAAGACCTTAAGATTATCTGTTTCCAACCCCTCCACCATGGGCAGGAAAAGTGCTGTTAATAAAACAGCACCAATTGGGAGCTTTAGGAGTTCTCTTTGAGTGGGAAGACACTTTGACCATGCTTTTCTTTAGCTCTGCAGGAGTCAGTTTTGGAAACAAAAGACTTTGTTTTAGCTGACAAAAACTGGCAAAGCTCCATTCAGGCCCATGTTGCCATATCAACTCAAGCTAGCAGAGGGACTACATAGAAAATGTCTTCAATGCTTTTCAAATCAGACCTCTGGGAAAGGTGAGAGTTTTGTTACTGCTTTAAAAGCATAAACTCAAACAGCAAACTCTGTTTGATTGTTCTCACATCTCTGCAGTGTATACACATTGTACAGATTTATTTTAAGTCTCCAGTTTGCAAAGGCAGAATGGTGAAGCAACTGTCTCACATACATTTAAAAGTCCATTTCAAATGGTTATACTGATGTGCAATAAATCAGTCTTAAATATCTTGGGCTTTTCTCCATAATTGTTTTGGCAAATGCTATGTAGATGTGTATTTTTAGTACAGTAGCATGTGCCAGATCCTCAACAAGCATAAATCAGCATAACTACTCATTATAAGCCACGTTATTTTAGCCATGGTCTTGACCTTGTCTACCACAGTAGAGTTTTTGTGTGCTTTTGCCAAAAGACTGCCTAAAATGTTAAGTTTATGGGTTTGGAAGCAGCTATGTTTGTCACAAATATTCATTGAATATTTATAAAACATAATGTTCCTAAGTAGGAATAGTAAAGTCCAACTCTGGTGTGTGATGATGCATCAAAGTCAGTAGGAGTCTTTGTGCAGACCTTCCCACCTAGGTCAAGATAGAACAGTTTAAGCCTTTCCTAATTTCCTCCCAGCTTCCTATTTATGGCTCATTTCAGGGCCCAGGTCTTTTGGTGGTGATGCCTGGGATATTTGATCATCATTTGAGGTTTTCTCTCTTTCTCTCTGGTATGAGGGAAAGATAAAGTCTTTTATTCATTCTTACCCTGATTACTGTGGAGAGATCAGATTACATCTCTGCATTAAGAGATTACCCTGCTCTGGGTGCTTGCATCCAGTCTAACATAAATGCTTTAGAAGCATCCAGGTTAGCTTTGTGATGCACCCCAGCTTTTTCAAAGTGTGCCAGCGTCTTTCCAATGGTCATAACTGATGAAAAGCCCAGTGCTCCAGCTGATCAGGAAAAGAAAATGACTACAGCAATACTGTATGCCCGCTACCAGTAGGGATGATGCTCCACTGGCATATTTCATTGCAAAATGGATGTGTATGTGTGTGTGGTTTCAGTATTATCCAGCTAACTGCTATTTCTGTCTTTTATAGAAGCTTTTCCTCATATCTTGTGTTTCTTTTCTAGTATCTCATTACAGTCCTTACTCTGAGAAATCTGGCACATTCTACCTAAGACTGCCTTGGTTTTGTGCTGCTTTCATGACACCTCCTCTGCGGACACTGCAAGTCCATCTTTCAGAAATGTGTCACTGTTCCTTAGCCAAGGGCTCTGCCTGACAAGGGCTGCCTGTGAGGCTGGATTTAATGAATCGCATTAGCTTGCAGTGTAGCTTTTCTACTGCTGTATGAAATGCCTAACTCTAAGAAGACTGCATCGATGTGGAAGGCCAGCCCCTCAGTTAGCCAACTGCCCTCAGCATGCACTGCCTAGGGGTTGGGCCTATGTGCTTCAGGTACATAAGAAGCCCGGTTCATGTTTCCAAATTCGTATATCTGCAGGCTTGAACTGATGGGAGACTTGTTAGGCTTGCAGTAGTTTGTGATAGTATCCTGCAGGCATGGATAGGATGCAGCTGATTTCCAATCGAAACCATTCTGTGATGTCCATCCACAGGACCACTATGTTATATCATGAGTAGGGTAGTTTGTAACATGTAATAGGGCATGTCCTCATACTTGCTCTGAGAATATAACATTATGTCCTAGACTTCCTCTTTAAAGGTAGTTATGATGTAACTGTATAATCTTCCAGGCCCTTCTCACAACATAGCTAGATGTGCTGCTTTCTAGTGCTTTTCATATGAATAACAGCAATAAATCCTTCCCCTTCATGCTCCTATTTTTCCCAGGAATATGAAATGCTGCAGAATGGCATCACAGTAATACTGTGCTTTTCCAAACAAAACTTTTGACCAATGCAAAGCCATAACTGTGTTATGTGACTGTCTCTATGTCGGAGACGAACTTCCCACCTTAAGACAATGTATACTTCACCCAGTACTCTCTGGAATCAAATTCCAATAAGGAAAGCTATTGAGTGAATTCCTCATTGCAGTATTTACTGTAAGTTTTTCACTTGGTTTGATGTAGTTAATTAACATGAAAATTAGGCATGGGCATCCTGCTTGTGTGAGAAGGCTTGCACGTGTAAGAAGGCTCATGATTACAAGCTCTACCACTTAAGGTCAGAATTAACTCTAAGCAGCACATCTAAGTCCTTGGGTTAGATCCTCAGGTTGTGTAAATCTCAGTGCTGTATTGATTTTACACCAGATGAAGATCGAGCCTCTTATGTCACTTCAGCCTGGCTGTGCCTGTGCCTGGAACTCTGCCAGTATGAATGCAGATGGCTGGCAGATTTTGGGATCTGAGGATGGCAATGAGTTCCCTGATGGGTTTGGAGGGTGCTGGTATCTGCTTCAGAAATCTGCATTGCAGGTCTGGCACTGGAATGGTGCTCTCTGCTTTTTTAGATGGTGATTTTGAGATAGATATGTATATAGATAGGTATACACATACCAAGAGAGCTGGTAGATGTCTGTACCAATGTGGTTATAAGCAGGCAGCATGACAAGCCTGGCTGCACTGTCTCCATATGGCAAAGCCTTGCTTAATAATGCCCCATCCTCTTTTGGGGACTAGACCTCCAAACAGGTCATCCAGTTCTTCTATGCTCATAGAGTTTCTGAGAGAAGGGAAAATCCAGGAAGGTTTAAAACTTGCCAGGAGACACCACGCATTCAGACCCAAGCCTGATGCTCCTGGATAGCTCAGGGCACTTTTTCCTTCCCAAAGCTGTTGCAGAAAGAGCCTTGATTTATGCTAAGGGATCCCCTTGCCAGCTGTTGTCTGGCAAACCCAACAGCATGGATTCCACCCAGCCTCACTGGGTGTTACTGAAGGTCCACAACAGCAACCTCTGCTTTGGCCCAAGGAATTGGAGGGGGAAGAGACAACAGCTCTAACAGCTGTTTCTAGCCCTTTTCCTTCTCTGAGCTGAAGAGAAACTGCAGCGTGCACAGCCTGTGCTTGCAGAAGGGAAAACACAGCCCCTTTTGGTGTCCTGTTAGAAATGTCAGCTCTTACCTTCTCCATGATCCTGTCAATCTGGCGGTTCTGTGTGTCGATCTCATTGCCCATGTCCAGGGCCATGTGACGTAAGTTGCCAATGATGCCGCTGACCTGCTCGAGGTTCTCATCCATTTCATTTTCCCGGGCATCATTTGTTACCCTGGGAGCAAAGAAACAATTATTTGAAGCAGAGACAGAGGAGGTTCCCCAGGAAGCTCTGATTCACCCTAAGCCTCCCCTGCGTCCTCCTTCACTTGCCACCTGAGGAGCATCCTGCTGTGCTCAGCTTTGAAGAAAAGGGATTAGCAAGTAGTTACCCTCAAAAACATCACATGCTTATTTTTTGGATGTTGGGATTGTCTGGGTTCATCACTGCTCCATTTATACCGCTTGTGGCTGCTGCTCCTTGAAGTGCTGCTATCGGAGCTTGCCTGTACCATGTGCTACACCTCTCTGCACACAGGTATTTGGATGGTTTTTCTCAAGCAAAGAATGAAAGAGTGCTCTATTTGGACCTGTATGTAGTTAGAGTACATGGGAAATGCTGGAGGGTGGTGGAATTGAAGCTATATCAGCTCGCCTCCTTGAACTACATATAGCTAACGGATACTGCCCAGTCGTTGTACACTTGCAGTCATCTAAATACTGGAGAAGGGCTGCTTCAGCTTTGAAAATCCTAACCGAACATCCTATTTAATTCAATGTATTTCTGATAAAGAACAGAAACAGCTCCTCTCAGATTTACTGGCTTCATTAAAGGTCCTTTTTCTCTCATTCTTAGCACCGTCTTTCTCAGTTGCTTGTTTTTTAGGAGAAAAAAATTATGTGCTTGAGCCAAGGCCCAGTTCAACTCTCCAGTGACTGGACAGGCATGAAGTGACTGACACTCGGACAAGCAAGGTCCATGGATGCCACTCAAAATCACTACTTGAAGCCTCTTGCTCAATTTCTGTTTATGTAAGTGCCAAAAGCGCACTGCAGGCTATTTGCAGAGCAACTATAATGAAGCATAACTTCCTTCACTGCTATTCTGTTATTATGCCCCAGCCTTCATTTTGGTGGGGCTGCCATCCAGAAACAATAGGAAAAAGTGAATGGCAGACCCAGCAAACTTAAATGGCAACTCCATCCCACGCTCCAGATTGTGTGACAGCACTGTTTGCATCACGCTGATTTCCCTTTATCACAGCAGCCAAAAAAATAAGTGGATAATAGTTTTTGGAAAGATAATTACTTATTAATCCAGTGTCCTTAATCTTCAGAGATCAAAGCTTTGCCTACTGGTATGTCTTTATCCATTCAGCTGATAGCATTGTCATCTAAATACATGCTCTGTAAGCACTGTAATCAGTATGTACTTATTGCTGCGTCCCTATGGACTGCTGGAAGTTTGTAGTTGGGTTGCCATTAGTTAAGCTGTGTGTTTCAAACTGGCCTTCATTTGAGTGCACAGAGGTTGCCACTAAAGCATCGATGTTTTTCCATGATTATGGCTTTACAGCAGCTGAGGAAAGGGGCATCATTCCCTGTTCTGGATAGTTACAAGCAGGGAAGTGGTGTACCTCTAGTTAAAAATGTGCTTCAAGTTCTGCACTTGGCTTGCTGCTCTGGCAGGGAGCCTGAGGCTTTTGTCTTTTAGAAAAGGAAGGAACGGGTGCTGGATGCTTTGGTACATCTTCTGGCAAGCATGGATAACGAGCACTACATATCTTGAGACATAATAACAATAAGTTAGTATTTATCTGACACTTCATTTCTGAGGTATTTGGGAAGTCTCATAAATGAGACCCATAGTAAGCCTCATGGGAAAAGTGCATTGTTCGTGCCAGGGAGCTGGACTGCAAAGGACGGTGCTGACTGGCTGTGACAGTCTGCAACCTCACATTGCTGCTGTGAAGTCAATAAACAGATATTATTTCTATTCCATTATTGCCCAAATCTAGGCAATCTCAAGGTTTAGGGCATGTTTTCAAGCATCCTCTGGTTCTCAGGGCAAAGATCCTTACTTCTAGGGTTTCCACCACCGTAACCATCCTTCGCACTAACTCAGACAAGCACCCACAGGGCCAGGGGAAGTCACTGGGCACAATAAGCCTGTCTTAATCACTGTCAACCTAAATCTGAGCACCCACCACTCCATGGAAAATGCTGGCTCCATCGCAATACCCAGCACTGCTGAAGGAGTTAATGAGCACCACAGGACTCATGACCATATGGAAGAAATCTAAATATATCAGTGACCAGGAGAAGAGAGAGAAAACAGTGGATAAAAAGGCTCACCTGCGGATAAAGCCACCACTGATGGCCATCTGCTCCCGTTCATCTACAACACGTGCAGGCTGGCTGGCTACAACACCATCCTGATTATTGCCCCAGGCTTTTTTGTAAGCATCGCTTGATTTAAGCCTAGGCGAAAAAGACGATGAGTAACAAAGCATCAAGTGGACAGGGACAAACGCAAAACTCTTTACTTCTCCAAGCTAAAAGCTGAATCAAGCAAATGAGTTTTCAGATAGAGGGTCATTGATTGTATACCGATATATCATGATCCTGAATAAAAGGAGGGGTTTGGATTTTGTTTCTTTTTACTTTACTGCCACAACAACTGTGTTGGTCAGAGGTTTTTGTTTCCAATAGGGTGAATTGCAATTATCAAGTCTACGACACTGCACACAGGTTTTTAGATGTTGACTTAGTTTCCAGAAAGAAGGAAGAAAAAAAGAAGGGAAAAGAAGAAAAAAGGGGAAAAGAAAAGAGATACAGATAAGTAGAAAACATTGTTTCATTTCAGTGACACATACATTTTGACATCAAACACAGAGAACGTACTGGCAGACACACATAAAAACAGAACTGCCAAGTATAGTGTGTACATCACATCACAGCAACACACCCTCTTAGATAGAAACGGATTTGGCTAGAATTTAACATTTTACCATGCAGAAGATTGGGCTTCTGTTGTTATTTTTTAACATATATGTGGCATAATAGGCATTCAAAGCCACTGACCTTTCCCAAGGCAATTTAGGGTGATTTTATCATAAAATTCATAGGGATAGTTAGATTTTTCAAATAATATATCGGTACTTGAAAATAGTAATCATACATCGACAGTTGATGTACAAACCTTTGTCCACAGAGACAAAAAGTAAAATAGGCAGAAGTGAAATGAGTGCAGGAGAAAATAAAAGATACGAGCAATCTAGCATCAGAAAGGGAAATCTTTCTACATTTTTCTTCATGCACCAGCTACAGGCATGAATAAGAAAGTGAAGCATTCTCACTAAGCACAGTTGCCCCAATAGTTCATCATACTCTTAATGCATCAGCAGTAACAGCCTTCACAATAAGCAAGACACAGGCAAAAATGGATCATCATTTCTGTTAGGAGCTTTAAACCAAAGGACTTTAAAATAGCCTAGCAACTTGTTATATTTGTGTTTATGACAATTACTTTATCTTTCAGAGCCATTTTTGACTGAGCTGCCGTGGATAGAAAATTAAAATCCAGGCATACCTTTAGTGGCAGAGTAGCATGTGCAGCATATATGGGATTGCTGTCATTGGGGTCATCAGGTGAGGCTGAACACTTTGACAGGAGTGTGAGGTTTTGGGGTCTGTAGGTTTAAGTTCTTGATTTTAGAATGGAAATAAAGCAGTTTCCAGCAAAGCTGTTGAGAACTGTAAATCTCCGTGGTGTCCCTGTTCTTCAGCCAGCTCCCATCAGTCACATAAACAGCCTTGTGGCTTGGGTTTTGGGGTAGAAACTGAATGTGCTTCTGGAGAATTTGGGAAAGGACACAACAAACCCATCTCTGGTGTTGTGTTCTCTCCATGTCCCCTGAAGCAGCTCAGCTTTTGTTGAGCATCAAGATTAGTATTAAAAAGAGGATCTTTCCTATTCAGCTGTTTTGTTGCTTATTTCCCATTAAAGTTTATAAAGACTTAAAAAGATGATGGCTGGCTTGTTTGGTTTTAGTTCTCTGGAAGTCTACATCAGATTTGGTATTCCTAAAAATGAGTGAAAGGTATTCTCCTGCTGCACATTTGCAGGGTTTTGCTTGTTCTTTAGACCTGTGCAACTTAGAGAGTGAGACAGACTGTGTGTTTGAGGGGAATGATTTTATACACCCAGAACTTAATCTCTATTTTCTTGTGGACTTCCCATTGAACAGGTGGAGTCTGGGTCTGCTCATGGTCAGTAACAGTCGTCCTCTTTAATGCAGTCTGGTCAAAGTTTCATGTCATGGGCATTTTGGGTCTCCTGAGAATGGAGGATCAAGCCTTACATTTTTGGTAAGGCTCACAGAGTGGTGGATCTAAGTATAGTTATGTGTGAAATGCTTAGTATTTTTAAAATACATGCCATTAATCTACCACCAGCTAGGTGGAAGAGCATTAGGGGATCATGGTGATAGTGATACCCAGAACTGTAAGATTTCTCTCCCTCCTACACTCCACTTCCCAGAATACCACCTTGTTTGTACCACTTTAGTCCTGGCATAGAGATTCGAAGAGCAGTCTTTAAAAGTATTGTTCATCTATACTCTTGTTCCTGAACGCATTAACTAACAACACTAGTTTATGAAATCTGGCTGCAGACTGCAAAGGTCAGAAAACTGCCTTAAAGCAGGGAGGAGACAGCTTTAGAAATGAACATCCTCCATGTGCAGTATCCTCTTCTTTCATCTACTGATTTTGTGATACTGCAGTTATAGTGAAGTGATAAAAGTTTTAAGGCCACATCTCAGGTTCTAACCCCGTCCATGCTACAGCTCTGGCTGTCTGTTCTGAGCAGCCTTTCCTACAGTACAGAATATTAAAGCTGCTCTAAAAAAAAATAATGATTCCTGCAAAATACATTGGAATTTTTTTGTACTTCAAGTGTGAACTTTTGATGTAGGCGTTATGCCAGGTTTCTCCAGGAGGAGCAATCTAGGACAGTGTTCCTCTTTAAGTTGCAACAGCTTTTACAGGGTGAGAGATGTAAAGTTTCTGCTGCATACTCTTATGCCTGCAGCTCTTCTGCACCGAGTCTTCTGGTGCAGAACAGCAGAGCTAAAGCCTAGATCAGAGCTCGTAGTCCCACTGAAAAGGCTGTGTGTGTGTAACTCTTTCCGTTCCTCCTTTCCTGTCTCCTATTGTGAACACCAAGTCACTAGCACATATATACTGGGCAAAATGTTCAGCCCAGCAAAATATTTGTGGCTTGGTACACAGGAGCAAAATCGATTTGTTTTCAAGCTGAGGCAGTATTTGCATTGTGTCCCAAGGGAATTAACTTCAAGATAAATGATGACTGATAAGGCAGAAACCCAGTCCTACCCTTCTGATGGGTGGCAAAATACCCACCAAACTCCATGACAGCTATTTTTCCTTTGGTCTTGGCAGTTATGTCAAGATGAGGCCCTGGCTATGTACAAAATACCTGTGCCACATAGAATGGGAGTATAATACTACACAACCACTTCACTGTGCTTTGTTTCCTGTACAGTCTCTGGACAACCCTTTATGAATGTTTTCACTGTAACCTGGTTGCATGTCTACTCACTACATGCTGGATTGGCCATTCCTCAAGGACTTCTTTGTCCCCAGTTTCCTACACCCACATAACCGCACATCACATTTTCATTTGGCATTGATAACAAGCTTTGCATTGTTTGGAGGACGGTTTCGTTCAAGTGTGATGGCATGCAAGCAAATTCGATGCATTTCAACATTTCTGCTCAGTGTACGTGCTACCCAGACAGGAGAAATTTGGCATGTTCAGGTTTCCTCAAGTTTGTTTCCTATGGGAGGAGGAAAACCATTTCAAATTGGGTTCCAATTGGGAAACATGTTTATTTCAAGATCTCACTGGGGACTGTGCCTGTTGAACAATGGAAAAAGGTGTGATTTTCATCCATAATTTGAAGCAATGCTTATTATGGCCTCTTCTGCTTTTTTTTTTTTCAGCTGCTTTGTTTCATTTGTAAACTTGTTTGTCAAAATGTGTTTCAAAATTTAGGGTCTCCAGGAATAAGGTAGCCCCAGTGGTTTTGTTCACTGGAAAGTAGAACCAGCCAGTACACTCTGTGTAAAATGTTGAAACGTTTACCATTAAAACGTGTTGACAGTGAAGCTTTCACTGCAGTATGCCTGATTTTAATGCATCTACAGTAATTCCCAATCAGTTGTCTATGCTATGAGATGAATGCATTTGAACCAGAATCGTTCTTTCTGCATGCCACATGCTCATCCTGTCCATGTGCCTAGCAAGGATGAGCTTCACAAGGCCTTTGGAATCAGCCTTAAGTGCTCAAAGAGATGAGGCAGGCAGCACCTACTTGTTACATGGACAGACACAAAGACCACAGAATTTTCCTAGGTCCGTCAAATTCTTTTCTGCTTCTTTCATGTCCTTATTGATTTGGTCCATTCCCTCTTCGATGCGTTCCAGTTGTTCTGATTAAACACAAGTATTTTATCCCCACAGAATGAAGCAGATGGAAAAGGACAAAGAAAAAAAAGACAAAAAACTTCAGACATTCACTGTGACAAAAAAACTGGACACCACATAGCAGAGCCGGTACCCAGTACCTACTTGTTACAAGGACATATGAAAAGGCCACAGCATTTCCCTAAATCTTTTAAATTTTTCTCGGCCTCCTTCATGTCTTGGTTGATATGGTTCATGCCTTCTTCAACACGATCGAGTTGTTCTGGTCAGGACAAAGGGATGACAGGGTGGAATGAATAGTATTTTTGTTTGCTTGCTTTTGTCTTCAACAGAACATGAAAAATGACCATGTAGAACTGAATTAATCATGACATTACAATGCATTAATCTGGGCTGATGCATTGTTGATAGGATGTATGCCGCACTGGATGCTGAAGATGGGTTTTACTAATATGGGAAGAGTAAAACAAAGGAGGAATTTGGAATATATTCATTTAAACAAGATGTAATGATGTTGAAAGGAAGGGTTATAAAGTTCAAGGTCCAGAAACACAATACAATACATCCACTTACTAAGACACCAGTGACATCCAAGAGAAAGAAAGATAGTGTTATTACTTTGCATTAAGGTATGTTAATACAAGAGAAAAGGTGTCCTTCCATGGAAAATACTTCAGTTACTTACACTTACAAATGCCTTGGAATTAGGTGATTTTGGGTAGCAGAATTGCTTTGGTTAGTGAGTGAGAAAGCTGGTAATAATGGTACCAGAGATGGAGCAAAACTGTTAAGAGCTGTATCCAAGTACTCCTTTTTCCAGAGTCTAAGAAAACTGAGACCTGCCACTTTGATTGGCACTGGATCTTAATCTCTAATCCAAGTATGGCCTCAGGGCTGGTTTCCTTTCTGGTATGGATGTAGCAAATCAGGAGTAACCTCAGTGAACACAGAGCAACTGCAACCACGCCAGGAGCCTGATGCTTACTGAAAGACAACCACTGGCTATGACGTTGGTTGTCTTTGTGCCCAAGGGATCTTATGAAAACAAGCATTGGATGAAGACTTGTATTTTCAGTGGGGTCACTTCAGCTTTGCTCTAGGGCAAGTTACAAAGCACCAATCCCAGTAACCAGCCATATATAGACACTGTCTCTCCGCTGGCATCAAACAGAATCTGGCTTGTTTCTACCTGAGGCTAATGAAGATTTAGAGTTTTCTTAGTGACTTGGTAGCTCAGAATAATTTCACGTCTTAATTTCTTCCGCAGTAAAGCTTGGAAAAATGCCCTAGAGGAACAGAATGCCACAATGTAAAATCGTAGGAATGGATCCTCTGCTGATGTAAACAGATGTGGATCCTATGGGGTCAGGGGTCTTGTTCAGTAGTGACAGCATTTTATACGGGTGAAAAGCCTCACCATTTGTTTCTTGAAAGATAAACTCATGTAAGTATTGCCCGGGATGAGAAAATTACTTAGAGTGGCATTTAAATCCATTAAAAATTGTAATTGTACCTGAACAGACAAAGTACAATCCCAGTAAAACACAAACGCATTCCTATTCCCTCTATTGAATAGAAAAAACTATAAACACAGAATTAGACTTGAGAGAAAAGGAACTGGGAGTGCACTGGTTGTAGGAGAAATGTAATGTCATCCCTGATGTTAACTGAGTCCTATCCAGAAGAAAAAAACCAGGCATATTAGAAGAAAACCATGTGTGTATTGACGTCAATACAAAGCTCCTCTTGACTTCTCTGGGAACATGACTAGGCCTAATTTCTTACTTGGATTTCTAATAACAATTGAGGTTTAGATTTTCAAAGCTTTCTGAGGTATTTGAATACCCAATTCCCATTAAAATTAATTTTATTTAATTAATTTTAATGGGAAACAGGCACCTCACCCCCAGAGGGCCTTGAAAATTCTGGCCTAAATTATTCAAGCTGAAATAATTCAAATATTGAACTTGTGCTTTTTGTTTCATTCTTGCATGAGGCTGGGCTTTGAGAAGGAGAGGGGCCAGATCACTATTACAAACTCCATCTGCTTTTCAGAGTTCTCATTCTCTTCAGCTGGATGTGCCCGTCTTCTGATACCATAGGAATTATCGATCCCAAATCCAAGGATACATTTAAGGGATCAGAGTTACCTGCCACTGTCCTCTAAAATGGGCACATATAATTTGAGCAAAGGATTGGGAAACTAATAAGGAAACCTGAGAGACAGAGTGCACAAATTCTGCCAGGTAAAGTGCTGAGCCAAGAACCAGAAAGACAAGGTTGGATTATTTTCATGCACACTGTTATTTTACATTTTGGTTGGGAGACTTTAGCAGAAGCTTTGGCTCGTGGTTGTCGCCACAGATTGTCAATCTCATCAGAAATGTGAGTAGGTGGTAGAAGGTGATACTCCTCTAAGTGCTCCTGCTCCTCGCTAACGCAGAGTCCCTCAAAGTTGGGCATCACTTGCTCTGGGAAGCAGCTGTGGGAGGATCAGCTGGTTTTTATGCTGGTTCATGCAGCGTGGTGGGAACTGCTTGATTTCTATCGCAGATTTCCCACCTCCTGCTTGTGAGAGGTGTATTTGCCAAGCCTGGCTGGTTCCAGGGCTCTCAATTAGAAGAAGGCTATTTCCAAGTGTATATTTTGACACTGGGAGAGTCAAGAGGTTCTGACTTTTCCTCTACTGAATTTGCTGCTGGTATTTCCCTAACCTTGGCTGGCCAGTAGAAAACGCCAGGTAAGACTGCAAGGGATCAGCCCTAGATCTGGCAGCGCTGGTGGCTTTCAGTCTAAGTGTATTCTCTTGCTCAGATGCTCATTCTCTGAAGCCAGGTATCTAGTAGGGGCCTTTCTAACTTACTTTCCATTTCTTATTCTGCCTGAATAGATAAGTGCTAATTGAGGAGTGCATTTGACATGACTCAAAGACTTCCATTTAAATTATAGCTCTCTCCAGGAACCTGACTTAATTCATCCTGCTTCAGGATTTGTGTGTGATGCTTATGCTACTTCTGAATAGAAAAGGGATTCACAACTAATTTATCTTCCATTAAAGGAAACCTCATTAGTGTAAAAGGTCCATGTCATATCTGTAGCCCAGAAGTCTAGACAGGTGGCTGCTGGTCCTAAAACCATTTGCTAGTTGCTAGTGTCGTGGGCTGGATTGTTAACTGGTGTAAGTCAGTGTAGTTATGCTGGCTTCATGGAGCAACACCAATTTGTACCTGACAAAGATCTGGTCCCACAGGCAAGGAAATAGATGCATGACTCTAGCCACGATTATTGAGGCATAAATATTACAGAGGAATTAACTTAATGGGGTCACTCTGGATTTGTTTTGTTAGAACTGATATTAAAATCTGCCCAGAATGAATCACTGCCGGTAGGAAATCAGATGCCAACCAAGAGGTTAATTCAATATCTGTTTTCAGATATCTTCCCCATTCCAACTTTGCATATTGTATTAAAGGTTTTAGGTAAGGCACTCTGCATATACTGCCCTGATCTTACACAAACTCATATCTACAAAGAATTGTGTCCTTCACCTCCCTTTTAGAGAAGCACTTCAAGGCCAGAGTTTAAACATCTTTTGATAGTTTGTTTCAGTATTCTTTGAATATACGACATCTAAATACATGTTTATATATCACATATGATATGTGAGAGATTTGGTGTTGTCTTGAACAGTATATGTCAGAAGTACGTTTCATTGGGATTTCCTCCCTTTTTATTAGAAGCTCTGCTATTTATTAGCCCTTTCTGCATACTGATACCCTTTTACGTCTGGCAATGTTACTTTAATTCAAACACAGTGGCCATATGGATTAGTGGTGGCCTTGGCAGTGATGAGGAATTGTTGGATGTGATGATCTTAAAGGTCTTTTCCAACCTGGTTGATTCTGTGAATCTGCGATTCTATATCTTCTTCCAGACCTTACAGCAAATTAACAGCATACCCATGAGTGGTGTCCCTCAGGGATCGGTGTTGGGACCGGTCTTGTTCAACATCTTTGTCGCTGACATGGACAGTGGGATTGAGTGTGCCCTCAGCAAGTTTGCTGATGACACCAAGCTGTGTGGTTCGATTGATACGCTGGAGGGAAGGAATGCCATCCAGAGGGACCTTGACACGCTTGTGAGGTGGGCTGATGAAGTTTAACCATGCCAAGTGCAAGGTCCTACACCTGGGTCGGAGCAATCCCAGGCACAGATACAGACTGGGCAGAGAAGAGATTCAGAGCAGCCCTGCAGAGAAGGACTTGGAGGTGCTGGTCAATGAGAAAATGAACACGAGCCGGCTTCAGTGTGCGCTTGCAGCCCAGAAAGCAACCGTATCCTGGGCTGCATCAAAAGGAGCGTGACCAGCAGGTCGAAGGAGGTGATCCTGCCCCTTTATTCTGCTCTCTTGAGACCTCACTTGGAGCATTGTGTACAGTTCTGGTGTCCTAAGCATAAAAAGGACATGGATCTGTTGGAACAAGTCCAGAGGAGGCCACGAGGATGATCAGGGGACCTCCCGTATGAAGACAGGCTGAGAAAGTTGGGGCTGTTCAGCCTGGAGAAGAGAAGGCTGCATGGAGACCTCAGAGCAGCCTTCCAGTATCTGAAGGGGGCCTATAGGGATGCTCCCTCTCCTTCATTAGGGACTGTAGTGACAGGACAAGGGGTAATGGGTTAAAACTTAAACAGGGGAAGTTTAGATTGGATATAAGGAGGAAATTCTTTCCTATTAGGGTGGTGAGGCACTGGAATGGGTTGCCCAGGGAGGCTGTGAATGCTCCAACCCTGGCAGCCTTCAAGGCCAGGTTGGACGAGGCCTTGGGTGATATGATTTAGAGCGAGGTGTCCCTGCCCATGGGAGAGGGGTTGGAACTTGATCTTAAGGTCCTTTCCAACCCTAACTATTCTGTGATTCTATGATTCTATGATCTTAGTATGCAAACAAGAACATGTTTTACCTGTATCTTTATACTTATGAATTACTTCTGTATTAAAACCATAAGCGACTGAGGGTCCGTAAGCTAGTCCTGTTAGTTTTACTGTAGCATTGGCCCTTTGCCAGTGAGTCTTTGCCAGGATCTTCTGTAACAGCCTGGCAAATCCTCACTCTGTCACTGATCAGGGAAGCGGCTGGGAGAGGGAAGCTGTAGCAAGGGCATCCCTCAGCTGCCTCTATGGCCTCTTGAGCAAACACAGCTGCAAAAGCATCTTACGCAGCATTGGATGCAGGGCCAGGACAGGGTGAATGTGATGTTGCTCCACCTTTGCATCCCCATCTGTAATTTATAACAAATGGTCCTTGAATAGCATCCAGGATCTGGGGCCTGTGTTTTAGTGTCAGTTAAATGCCTGTGGAAAAGGGAACTTGCTCCTTTGCCTGGAGTATTGTGCAATGAAGCAGTTTCCACCAATGACAATTTTCATTGGAGAAGAAAAAAAATTAAAGGACATCTAAGAACATGCTGTAATCATAATTGCATACAAGAGGGCTGAATGTGAAAGAGATTAAACAGATTTACTCTTTCCAATGGTACTCAGTGATCCCGTTTTCCATAAAGGAAATATCAGACAGCAGTACATTTCTAGGCCAGCCTTTAAAGAAATCCTGAGTCTTGACCTAGCTCCACTCTGAAAGGCACTGCTGAGCCCATGTAGAATGGAAGAAAGCTGGCAGGGAATGCTACAGTGTGAGCCCACGTGTAACTGCACTAAAAATAACAGCAGATGAGGCACAACCTGCTTTTGTGGAGGGTTCATTTGTCTTTTGTTCTGCACTACAATTGCACCAGAATTGACACCATTTTCCCTGTAGAATCTGGAAGAGTTGATAGTTACCTTTTTTTGTCACTAATTAGCAAACCATTTCTGTCTGTGATCAGCTCAGCTCATAGGTGTTGTTGGAGCGCCTCTGGCAACTCTGCTTTTAGTATCTCACTTTGCATGGTGGCTGTTGAATAGGAGGTAAAGTGGGGAAGGGGCCTGTGCAAGGGGCCATAATTTTGCTCTCTGGTGGAAAGCAATTGTAATTCTCTTTGTATTTACTGCAGTGGTTTCTCCAGTGCTGTAGAAACAGGCCAGCCAAACTCTTAACAAAACTGTAAAACTAGTAACTCCAGCAAGAACAGTAGAGGTCAGCCAGCATGGGCACCATCAGTGGTGCCAACACTTTTGCTTGTGGGATTGCCCAGCTATTCCAAAGTTTTATCTCTATACTTCTACTTCATCTGGAGTACAGATCTGCTGGGTAGATTAAGCTGCTCCCCATGTTCATTGGCACTGCTGGTTGTGCACTTGCTGTTGCTGTGGTGCAGGAGGGAAGTTTCAATGGCATCGACGTTTTCTTTTTTGGCTTATCAAAGTTGTGGTTATTCCTCTGTCTTGTCTTGCATGAAAAGCGGCTATGCTGCTACTGTTGTTATTGGAAAAGCTTCTCCCCTCCATCCTGTTTGGTATACGAGGATAAAATTCTTCTGTAATAAACTGAATGAGGACATTGTGTCCTTGAAGGTCCAATTCTCTCTGCCTGCTGATTCTCTCAGGTGATGGGATTTTCCTTTGGAGGAGGACCTCTCTCATGTCAGCAATTCAGGTGTACCTTTATATCCCCATTTTGTATTAACAGTTTCATTTCTACAGTCTGCTTTTAAGAACATGCATCCAAATATTAACATTTTTCTAAGTTAGCTTGTTTCAAGAATATATTTAATGAAGCAGAGCAACTGCCACTGCTCAATAACCCTTCGCAGCATGACATCTTTAGTGTAAAATATAAATATTTTAGTTTAAGGCATTATGGACATATTTACATTTAAATAATTCATTAGGGGAGCTTGAATCAAGGCCAGGTTTACAAAAATATCAGTGCTATGGATGCACATAGGGCTTGGGAATGACTCCCTCACTGATGGAGAAAATCTCAACAGGGAGACTCTAACCTCTTGGCTCCTTCCTGAGGGCTGCCAAGGGGAAGAACTGCATTCAGCTGGCTTGGGCGACAATATCTGGCTCAAAACCTGGTTGTTCTTGGTATTGCAGAGGGACTATTCCAAGAGCCTACTCAGATTCCCAATGACATCAAAGGGCATTGGAGGTGGTTTCTAGTTTTCATGGCAGTCTCATTCTCTGTGAAACAGGAGTAATGAAAGTTCTTGTGAAGCTCCACATCTCTGTAGGGTCACAACAGACCGGTCACAAATGCTAGCTGTGCACAACAGGAGCAAGCCAGACTGCTCCTGTCAATACCCACTGTTTTACAATAATTTTGCAATTAATTTTACAATACCTACTATTGTAAAATTATTTTTACGATCCCAAAGACTTCTGCTTATTGATGACAGAAAATGGGCTCTGCTTTGTGTCATTTAGATTGAGATCGGCTCGAAGTAGTTTTCCTTTTAAAGTCTATTTAACTTCAAAGCAAGCAATTTTGTAAGGAAACCTAGAAATAGAGCTTCGAGCAACTGCAGAGATTAGATATTCTGCTTGCCGCCCACTGGAAAGATCAATGTCATGTTTTTTTGTGTATTTAACACCTAATAATCTTAAGTGACTTTTGCAGTCAGCTGAAAAGAGATCACATGGCAGTGTTAGCAAATTATTTCCTTAATCTGATAATCTGCTGCGACATCCGCGGGTTGCACACGCTGCACTAATTACAGAGGGCTCAGAGTCATCATTAGCGTGTTTTGCCCAATAATGTAAGTCTTTTATCACTAAAATTGAAAATGAGGAATTATTACAGCTACATATGGCTAAAATGAACAAAACTGATTAAACATTTAGCGTAAGACAGTGGTTACAATATACTCAGGGTTTGTAGCATTATTAGCCTGTTTTCTATGAGAAACCCATAGGGTAGAGTCACAAGCTAAATTTACTGAACCACTTAAGGCATGACCATAACCAATTTAAAGAGGCTTTTGAATTGTCCGATTCTTTCCTGTAAATATTGATTAACTGCATCTCTTCCCATACAATATACATTTCAGGTTTCACTGTCAATAAGAGTTTAATACTGAGCTCCCTGGACCCCAAATGGTGTATGGGTCCAGTCTCAGCTCCTTGACTCACACAGACCATTCTTTCTAGCATGACTAGAATGCTGGTTGGACAACTTCTGCATAGAGAGGTTTAGTAATAGTAGAGCTCCAAAGTAGAAGACAAAATTCAGGGTTAAAATCAAAATACCCCCCCCCCAGCAACCTGTAGAAAAAACAGAGGTTAAAGAACAGAAACACATTTTCCCAAAACTAAATGCAAAGGGAATTATAGGCACCACAAAAGTTTCTGCTGATCTGCCTGTGAATTACATTGCAACACACTCCTGGGTATTTACAGACTTCCTTTGACAATATTCATGATTTATTTCAACTGTATAATTCACTCCTGCAACAAAACACATTATTTAGACAGGTGCCATATCTGTTTCAACACAAGCAATTTCTGGTTTCCTGCTTTCAGCGATAGTTCTTTTACTGCCGTTATTCAGGAATTCTTTTGAAGACAGCCAGATAGTCTCTGTAATATTTCTCTTGTCAAGACAAATTGGTGTGACAAAATTTGGTTGGGTTAAATTCCTTTCCCTGAAGGGAGAGAGGGGGACCAATGTGATGTACATAAAAAAGGAAATAGGAGAAAATACTTTCTGGTTAGGTCTTGTTATTACTTTTCATTCATTTTGGTGCCAGAGAGGCAGGGACATAGCAAAGGTCCTATCAGGTTCTGCGATCCATTTCCTAACAGTGCTTATAATCACTGCTTATAATCATTGGGCTTGATGAGTGATACAGGATTACTTCTGCAGAAAGCATTTTCTAATACAGTTTTGTATCATGCCACATAGAAAATAATAATAAGGACTTGGGGGGGGGTGGTTTGATGTAGAGTAGCAGAAATTTATACTCTGGTGATTTAACTTCTCTTTGAGACGCTGTTTTGCTGGTGCTGTGGGTCTGCAGCAAATGAAGACTTAGTTTGGTTGGGGGAGGGAGCTACCTACTTCTTTGTAGTATTATGAAGGGAAAAATGTAATTTCCTGGAATGTATTGAATGTATCTGGCTGTGGCTTTGTCACTGTCATCCACAGACAGGGACTCATCTAAGCTTGAAAGTTCCTTTATGGTCAATTGTAACGAGCTGATTGTGTTATAGCTTTTAATGTGAAATTCCTGTTATCCTCATTGACATTTCTATACAACAGGCAACTGGAATTCACACAAACTAAGCTGTTTTACCTTCTCTCGGGATGCATTTATTGCACGCCTTTCACTTGCGGCTAGAACAAGTGAGAAAATTATGAAGCACCTGCGTAAATAATGTTGGATTTTACACTTATGGAAGCAAATCTTCTCATCGTGTAGCTGGATCTTGACCCAAAGCTCGCTGAAAATAAGTGATGATTTGGATGAGTTCAGCCTGCAGCTCTCTTTGACATTAATGGGAAGCAGATCAAAAGAAGTACAGACTGTTATGCAGTTATTGTACGTTCCTCAGTCAGACAGCAAAGCTAAAGGCATAGAGGTTTTGGGGTTCTCATGCACAACCACACATATTTTATGGCCCTCTTTTTCAGGATTGCACACAGTACAGTACTTTGAGAATAGTTAGACTTCCTTACTGAAGCAATCTGAACTTACCTCCTTGCTCATCCAACATAACCAAAGTCCTGATACCAGCATCTTTACTCTACATCCCAATAGTGGTAGCAAGGTAAGGAGAGAGAAGGAGAGAAGAAAGAGAGAGAGAGAAAGAGAGATCAGTGAGGGAACGCAGCCCTAGGCACGGGACATAGGAAGACGAAAAACAGTAAAAGGAATGATAAGGTCATAAGGGGCTGGTGGCACAGTCCTAAGACCTTATGTGCCTGGATACAGTAAGAAACTGGGTACTCTCAATTGTATCATCAATCCTTCAGGATTCACAGGGATAACGAACTACTGCAGAAAACACAAAGTCCTGGAGCTTGAGATTAAAATAATTGCTTTACATAAGAATAATTTCTGAAAAGAGAGGGTTCATCTCTAAGTTTTCTGAAGCAGGAGAATGAAAGAAGGGTTTATTGGCATTGCGGGTGTCTGTTCACCCCAAGGGAGAAACTCCCAAGGGAAATAGATACGATACAAACATGCTTGAGAAGTAGGCATAGTGCTTTGTACATGGTCCTTGCAACACAGAAGTCAGAAAGCTTACCTACTTAGGAAATCCCTTTTAAAGCAGGCTAATATTTAATAGGATTAAGCCATAATTTTTGGCTTGGAGATCTAATAGATATGGGTTTAAGCCAAGTTTTAATTCAGCCAACAGACACCTTTAGCATCAATGGATTTCATCAATGGATTGAGCTTGAGGGTAGGATTCTTAAAACACCTGCATGCTGAATCTACCCTTGCTCCCACAGGTAGTGGGAGTCTTACCATTGCCTTTGATGGATACAGGGTTTGAGCAGAGACAAGCAGTTCAGCGCTCCCACCTGCTGAAGCCAGCAGCAGGGCACCTTTCAGAAGTACAATTTCTGCCTGTGTTATCATCACTCCAGGATGTGATCAGGAGTCTCAGGTTTCTGGGTGCTGTGATACGAAGCTATATCACAGATAAGATTAGCTCCTTTTTAATTACAAAGGGAAAACTAGCTCCATTCTGCTTGGAGCAGTGATAACATCTGTAAATAATTAATGGCCTGGATGATCTGACTGTTGCATGTCAATAGCAGATGAAGTAAGTCTTCTGCACCCTGACAAGCGGAGTCACCTGGGCATGTGCAGCAGTAATTTAGCTGCTTCCATGAACATAAAGCTATCCATAGCCCTGTGAAGCAGATAAGGGCAGGGGAGATGCCCACAGTTGCATAGGAACATGAGGAACAGAAACCTGGAGTCCTGACTGTCCCTTTCACTTTCTAGACCACCCTCCCCTTCCTTCAGGCAAATTAAGGACTTCATACCATCCTTCTTCCCAACAGCCCTGCTGATTGCCATGGCTCATCTCTTTCTGAGAGCAGTGAAGTCTCTTGCTGGCACCACACTGCCCACATGGGCTCAGATACAAGCTGGACTCTGCCACACTCGAGGGCTGTCTGGCTAGTGCAGCTGGTGCTTCTCTGCTCCAAAAGGATCCTGCTCGGTTCAAGAGATGCCTCTTGTTGCACTGCCTCTCTCTGCACTCCCATTCTTGTCTTTCATGTCTACATCACTGTAGAAACTGGGAAAAACATCAGATGCAGCCTGTTTTGCTGCTGCTGCTTTTTAAACCCTCCCTGTGTGAGTTGCCAGGTGGAGGGAAAAAAGCCTCCTGCCTCTCATCATGCTCTGCTGTGCCTGCTGCCCTCGGGTCAGCTGTCTATCAGATACCCACTGCTGCTCTTTCTTCCTTCAAGCACATACAGCTTGAATCCCATCCAGCTTTTATTTTTATTTTAGAAACTTATGAACCAAGGTTTGCCTTAAATTTATCTATTTAAAGTAAGGAAACTGCCTTTAATTATCTTATGTTTTCTGTGTTGTGATCTTCTAAGCACTGCATGTGCAATAGCTTTTTATTGCTCTCTTTTCATGCTCTTGGTACTCAGGGATGTCTAACCCCAAAGGATTTATATGCATTTTAAGAACAGTATAAGGCTGCTTGGGTTCTGAGTCATCTTGTGTTAAGTAAATTCAGTGCAGTCTGACATGGGATCCTTCTAAATATTGGACTCAGGAACCTGCAGTTGGTGGTGTGATAGTTGCTGGCTTTCAGTGAATCAAATATAGACAGGCTGAGAAACATTTACTGCTCCTTAACCCTCTGCCCTTATTTTCCTGCTGGCTTCAACATCTTTATGCAGCTAAGATGTACAGTGACCTGAATAAAACCTATGCTGAGAGACAAACTCAGCAATTGGACCTTATGGTTTGTATTTCATATTAAGTCCTTGCAGAGAGTGGAGGAGGTACAATTTACTTTTACTTACCTGACCATCAGTGCCATTTAATTTTATCAGGCAATACTGTATCTCTGAAGAGTAGCCTGCCACAGCACTAACACTAATGTGAAAATATTAAAGGGTGTGCATTGAATATACTTCCCTGCATCTGAGGTCTAATCCAAAGCATATTGAAGCTAATAAGAAAATGCCAGCTGACAAAGATGAGAGGTGATTCAGACATCAAGTGACAATCTCCTCCTGTTCCAAGCTTCTACTAAGCATTAATTTTCAGCTTTTTCACAAAAAAAAAAAATATTGTGTAAAGGAAATTAAAAAAAATCATATTTTTGCATTGAAACAGATTCAGACTTTCCTAAAAGTTCAGCATTTCCATTGTGACTGATCTTGTAGATGGCTCAAAACCAAACATGTCTATAAGATGGAATGATTCTAAAAATGTGCTCATCATCCAGATGTCTGAGCAGGAGAGAAACACTCAGTAACTGACCCTCAACAGTGACAACAGACTCGGGCATCTCTGGAAACTACAAAACCTCTTCCTTTAAAGGACTACAGAGGATGCAACATGCCAAAGAAGTGTTTCCGGAGCCCAGACACAGACAATGTTGGTGTTCTCTGCACTGAAAGGATCGCAGAAACTGCCCTTGGTCTCAGTGGGAGCAGCTGTCAGCAAACGCACTCACAATGAGGAGGTGAACAAAGATGTGTTTGCAAAATTCCAACCCAGAAAACATGGTTTACAATGACTCATCATAAAATAACAAGCTCCCAGAATAGTCACAGCAGGGCAGTGGCCCGGTGACCATGCTTTGATTTCTCTGGTCCTGAGGGCTCAGGAAGGGTTCCCACCCACATCCAATGCCCACCAACATCAGTGAGATCCTATATGGGAAGCCATGAGTGGGTAAAACTAGAGAGGTCCATCTTGTTATGAAAATGTGTGCTAAATGTACACTTCCCTAGGATAAGTCTTTCTTTCTTCCTGTGCAATAGGGGAATTTCTTAAGAGCTTGCACAGGCAATCCTCTGTTCAGTTTGTGGCAAAATAAGGATCCTCAAAAACAGGGGTGTTTAAAAAATGGGTAGTTTAGGCCAGAGAGAAGAAAAATGCATCTTCCATATGATCCTACACAGTCCATACAGCACATGCCATTTTAATCCATCTCTTAAATCTGCAGCAGCCTTCTCTCTCTGCAGTTACTTCTGACTCTCCTTGTCCTCTTGTTGCACTTGAGAAGAGAATTGGGACTGTTTGCTGCAGAGCTCCTGCCGTGGTGCAGCAAACCTCTCACATCCTTGTCCTTCAGAAGAAAATGGCACAGCATGTATTGCTTTTGTTGAGGCATTAAAGTGGCACCTCTGGAGTTCCTCTGTTTATCCATAGAGCAGGTATACCGCAGATGGTAGAATGTATAATCATTCCCAGCTCCCAAACATTACTCAGCCCTGACTCCAGGATGAGCAGGTCGACTAGTGTGTCCTCCCAGACTGATTTCCAGGGAGACTGCTGCAAGATGCCGACCATTTGTCTGCAAAGATCTGCCCAATTTTGCACACAAGATGGCCCTTCAGAACAGGACTTAAAAATCGATCACATTGGGTGAAACATCATCATGAATATAGACCTCATGGAGTTTACGGAGGTCAATGTCCTTCAACCTTCCAGTAGTACTGAGTCCTAGTGTTTAGATAAAAGCAAACTGACAAGGAGTATTGATTTGGGTTCAACGTGCTTTCTGTAAAGCACATGTCCAGGTTCTCCACTGGACCACCAGCTAAGCTACTGATCAGAAAGCCAAAACATATGATTTTAAAACTCTGGGCTTAATTCAGCTCTTAGATACCTAAGCTACCAGTCAAGACTTCAGTGAAGCAGTTGAACAGCGTAACTGGGAACCCTTTTGGAGGCTTAAATATACATTAGCTCCAATCTTCTCTAACAGCTTTTTATACATTTCTTGTATGACAGTCTCACTCAGAACAAGTCAGCAACAAAATATTCACTGAAAGTTGCCCAGCAGTTCGGAGGGACAGTGTGTTGCTGTATGATTTAGTATTGCTGTTTTGTCACTTAATTTCCCAAGGTGGGAATAAAACTAGGAAGAGAAGTAGGATGACTTCTCAAAGGGCCCACCAGTCCCTCCAGGAACACAGTGTATTGTGTCTTATCCAGGCAGCTACTCCCAACTTTGGTTTAGCCTGAGGGGTGATTTTCATAACAGTGTAAGGGAATGATATGTTGGATAGAAAACCCAAATTCCATAAATCACTTTATCAGCATTTCAGGAGATACCCTGAAAAACAGTCGCTGTTTCAATGTCTCTTTGTCCCTGACTAAAGAGCCATGTTACTTCTCAGACCATTAGCTCACCCTGTGGTTCAGATCCTCAGCTGATACTAATCTGTGACCCCATCCTAAGTCCTATGTGCCTGGTTTTCATCTACTACAATAACTCTGACTCCAGTGGTAACCTGCTGGTTTACATAGATAAAGGGGCCTAATCCTGCATAGGAAAGACCGAGACCAGAATTACGAACCCCATCACCCTGTGCCAGGTATGTATTTCTTTGGAATTACACAGATTAATTCTATTTTCTGAGTAGAACTGTTCCAATAGCTAATGGTGTCAAAGAGATTTCCCAGTTAGCTTTGGACCAAGCTCTAAATATATAGAATACTATCCTCTTTTATTCTTCAGACTAAGGAACATTTGACTATGATAATGTCAGGCAAAACTAACTTCCCAATCACAAATGAAGGAAGTTAGTGAAATGGCACATTGTGTGCTTGGTGTCCCGCATAGAGAAGCAACATGAGGTTATCAAACATATATAGTTTACAGTTTCAGATTTGATATGTCAGTAACCTTGATCCTAACCCCCATCATATGAGAGGAGAAGATAGTCCTGCCTAGATTTAGATGTACAAATCAGTCCTTTTGTCTGTATGTGTTCCTAAATGTACTTTCTTTCTGAGCTTCCAGCAGTATTGATATTGCTATTTTTTCCCTTGCTGCATCTTAGGTAGGAACCATCTCTTTTATCCACCCTACAATGATTGATTTTCTTTAAAGGCCATGGTGCTTCCACTGGTAGATGGTAGTGGACTCACAGCTTTTCCCCTTGCATGTGTTATTCTGTGTTTCATAATGTTGGCTCAGATGTAAAAAGCCTGAACGAGAAAACAGGAAGGTCAGCTACAAATTGTGTATTTAGTCTCACTTCTTCTGCCTCAGTTCATTTTTATGTTTTGGCACAAACATTGCACAGCATCACCATCAGATACAGGTATTTATAGCACTGAGTGGCTGAGAAGCTCAAATGAGCATTGGTCAGTGTAGATGTAGCTGTATTGCAAGGGTATGCTGGGTACCACAGAGCAAACTCATTTGTGTAATCTGCCATCCCAATACATAGCTGCCCTAGGGCAAAGCAGTGACTACTTTGCAGCCACAAACCACTTCTTTCTTCCCCTGTTGTGCTAGGACTGAAAAGAATCAGCTTCTTGCAAAGCTGGGTTATAAAAATAAGAAGCTGCAACAGATTTGGTGTTCCTTACCAACATTCCCTGGGAACAGCACCAGGGCTTAATCTCCAAACTCAACGTTGTCTTCTTGAGCAAGGAGAGCATGGTCCGTTGGAGACATCAGTTTTGTCCCCCATGCTATGACCTACATATCAGCATTAAGGATGCCTGTACTGATACAGGGCTTCCCTGGGTGGACAACACTCTTCTGCCTCTACAGTGAATCCAAGTCAGTCTGTTTATTCTTTATTTTCCCAGTATTTAACAGAGCAGAGCCAACCATAACAAGACTCCATACAGACATACATAGTAATAATGCCTAAACATGGAGGCATCATTTTCCTAAGTAAGGAATATCACATTTGCTGTACCCAGAGAATAGAGTAAAAAGCATTCTTTCACAGAGAAAGAATATGTTCTTTCTCTACTAACTAAACAGGTTCTTCTAAGCAAGGTAGTCTAATTGGCTCTTTGGGGTCTAGTAAATCAGGGGAGTGTGAGTTCCCTTTCAAAAACACTTGCCATTTGTCTTTTCAGTATAAAGTCTCTCACTCCCTAAATGCTTCATTCTCTTAAAAGTACCTAGGAAATGGGACCAGAGTAATCAACCAGCTGTTTAGACCACAGAGGAATTTTAAAGGTCTTTTCTAGTCACATTAGTGAGAATGATATTCAGCTTGTTTAGAATAATTCCCTTGACTACTCAGAGCTACTTTTAGAAACGCCTGTATTTGGACAGGATGATACTGTAGCATCTGAATAAAAGGCAAGTCCAGAGAGATGCCAAGCTCTTCCAAGATGCACTAGAGTCCTATGTAAATTCATTGGTAAATTCAGTAGTCCCAGTTCTCCTCCTACTTTGCCATTTGCCATGATTTAAAGCTGAAATTCCAGTGGCACTCACAATATGCTGGTTCAATATGTTAGGAAGACTCAAGCAGTGCATAGGTCACACAAATACGGCTCAGGAGAGACAGAGCTGATATTTACTGATGGCTTGGCCCTCAGCAAATCACTTCCCTTTTCCTGCGCCTCTCTTTCTTCCCACTCATCATCTGCCTTGTCTGTTTAGATCACAGGCATTTGGGGGCAGCAGGCTCTCCTGCCTTGTGTTCATGGAGGTACCCATATGAGACTCTCTTCCATGTTCTTGAATTGACAACAGCGAGAGCCACATCCAGCATAGAGCTGACAGAAAGTGATGGTTAGAAACGACATGTCCAGGGAACTGAGCAGCAAAAAGGGACAGATTGCTCGTGAGACTAGGGCATGTTTCAGCTGCAAGGGGCCCCGATCTGAAGTGTTTGTGGAGGAGAAGCGATGCTGACTGTGCTCAGTGACCCATCTATCTGCCTATCTGTACATGGAAATTTAATCCTGTCTCTACTGGACTCCATTGATCTCCACAGTCGTGATTGATTTCAAGGCCATGGAGCCTATGGCTGGGCTTGTGCTTGTTCCTGAACGCGGGACCTAATGCAATTTTCTTCCCGTTGTCTCTGCTGGAGACTCCTCTGGTTGTCAGGAGCAGTGGGGCTGTCAGTGCTGATGACCCTGATTACAAATGTCACCAGCTCCAGAGCCAAGGCGTGCGTGGTGTCTGAAAACAGTATGTCCTGTCAGGTGGGAGCAAAGTTTTCCACCACCTGATGGCTGAACACTCTGAACTGAGTTTGGGGATTTCCAGTTTTTAAACTCCTTTGCTATGAAGAGGGTGATATGAAACCTATCTGAATTGCTTCTTCCCTTCTGGAAGTGACACCTCCAGGCAGGTTTTAGCAGTGAGGACTGAGCCCAGAGCCCCTTCCTTTGCTCTGTAGAAAATCAGAGAACTTCCCGTTCCAAAGCTGTCAATCTGGGACATCTCATGAACCTTGACATTTCAGAGATACATGAAGTGGCATTTAAACGCTGTGGTGACCAATGCTTTATAAATAGCTATGAGTGTTTATGGAGAGGGAGGTATAGACAACAAGGCAAACAGACCGAGGGCATTTCTCACCTTCCCCACTTGCAGTGTTATGGCAAGGACGTCAGAGTGGTGCTGGCACAAGGCTCCAGGGGCTCTGCAGCAAACTCAGCCACTCGTCCCTGACTCCAGGTCACCTCCAAAGGCTGTTTCCTTGGTTTATCTCAAGTAGCCTGTCTCATTGGATGCTCAGGTGTGGGCAAAACAGTGTCACAGCACTTGACACAGTATCTTGAATGACTCTCATAAGGGATAAGGAGAGATGGAGCAGCGCATAAAGCCATGGCCATGCCCTAGCAATATGGGTTAAAAACGCTTCCAGCGTTGGACTCTTCATCACTTTTGCTCACAACAGAAGTGCAAATAAAATGCAAGTCCTTACCTCTTCAACAAGCTGCAGCATTCGACGGGTGCTCTCAAGGGACTGAAAGAAACAGAGGGAAAAACACTCAGCTTTGGCAAGATACACTTTCCAACACTAATGTGCAGGCTCATGCTGACAGTATGTTTCTCCTATGCTCTTTGCCTTCCCTTGAAATCAGGCCATCAGCAGGGTACTGGTGATCTCTTCCTCTCCAGCTCTCCATTACATCTCACTAATGCAGCTCCCACTGCATCTCGAGGCACCTGCAGTCTGTAAGGCTCGCACTCCCCTTGCTCATGCATTGCAGTGGTAATGCTTGGAACAGCTGGTGTTCCACTTTGAAAAGGATGTCTATGGTTTGCAGCTAAGACTTTTCAGACCTAATTGGTGACTTTGAACATTTAACAGGTTTGGCAGATTGATGGAACCCTCAGAAAATACGAAATTGCTGCTTTTTTTCCTCTGAGGCTGGTCAGATTGATGCAGACTAAACCCAAATACCTAATACCTTGATACCTAAACCAAAATCACAATCAATAAATGCCTTAATCTAGACTAAACATGGCACTAAGTTTTACCCCGGCTCATCTAATTTCCAATTCTGCTTTCAGTGTAAAGCTGGCAGAAAACAGCATCATCTCTAGAAATCCTCTGCCGGCTCAGCTCCTGTTTCTGGATGTGTCCCTCACACCAAAGCCAACCCCAGGTTTGCTGCTTAGCTCTCACTTCATCAGCAAGCTGGTCAGCACGCCGCTGCATCTCTTCCAACTCATTGCGCATATCAGCGTCTTCTGCCATTTTAGCTGTGGGTGTGTTTGTGGAAGCTGCAGATCAAGGGTTTGCACTCAGCTGCTTGTGAGCCTGGAAGACAGAAAGGGAAAAGGAACAGTGTGGTTAAGCTCCCTGACTCACTGAATTGTGCTTAAATGTCAGCCCCACAAAAGGGCTCTTATTACATGAGTGCCCTCACCCAAACTCTTCCGTTGTGGATAGCAATCCCTACATAGTAGAGAGCTTTATTCCTGTATTATTAATCACTCTCGAAGAACAAGGATGTGTCCTTGTCATGTTCTTTGAGGAAAACCCTTACTTCTTTCTTAACCTTTCAAATGCTATTCACATCAAAGCTAGAGACTCAGGAGGTGTTATCTGCTACCAGAAACAGTCTCAAGACACATTAATTCTCCTCTAGAATTAAAAGCCTAACATGAAGGAGGTCAAGGTCAAGCCTATGCACCTTATGTCCTGTGTTCCAGCTGCATCTCTTGGAAGGCTGCACACCCAGCTAATACATTTACAATGAAATTAAAGACAATGACACTTTGCAGATTTTTATCATCTAATGACTTGCCCCTTTGCTATAGTTCAGACTCTGAAATAATATTTACAGCTAGACTGGAGAAGTTGTCTACCTGTGTGAATCCTTCATTACAGGGGAAAGCACAGCAGGACCTAAGTGGTTCTCCAGCTTCTCCCCAAAGTGGGTCAGATTCTGGTCTTGGTTATCCCTTTCAATACAGAACAACACCTGTGAGCTCATCCTAACCAGAGATGAGGACGCAGCCCATTAATCCTCATTTGGGTAAGGTTTCTTTTTTGGTATGAAATTGAGCTAGCTCTGATTACTGAGCATGACTTGATTAAGAAAGGCGGGTCCTCCTACCATCTGTCACATCTTTATAACAACAACACTGGCTTATTTCTTCACTTGATTCAAGCATGGCACATGGCAAATTAATGCTAGGTTTGTTTGTAGCAGGAAAACCTAATCCCAGGTGCAGAGGAGGTGGGGAAGTTGGGGGGGCACTGCAAATAAACAGCCATAAAGCACATTCCATCATGCTCAATTACAGAAAGAGGACAAAAGCAGCCCATTTCATCAAAGCTGCTCTAAGAAGGTAAAATCCCAGGGGCTATTTTCCATCCTGTCTTTGTGGTGCATGCAGCCTTTATGAAGCAAGATAAGTCAGGGCACAGCTTGGCTTTAGAATTTTAGCAATAATAAGTCTGTTTAAATGGAAGTTATCTGTCGGAGGTGAATCCGTTCCTCACTTTGACAGTGCTTGCAATCAGGACATCAGGAGTATGGGCTGAACAGGTACAGCTGGATGGCAGGGATATTTCCTGGATCACATCTTGTTTGCTTAGAAATACCTAAGGAAAGCAGACATCTCCTTACATTTCCTCTGCAGCTTCAGCAGCAGATTTGCTGTTTTTTCTTATCTAAGAGGGAGTATGTGACCTTCATGCTTTTGCACTAGTTGTGCCCTCATTCATGGCTGCTTTTCCTCTTTGAAGCTCCACCAGTAAGAAATCTATCTCAAAGAGTCCTCCCTGCAGCTACTGGCGCAGCATCCTACACTCATCACTGAGCACATCGCCACATCCTTGTCAGAGGGAGGCTGACATTGTGTGATGGGTCACACAATGTTTAGGAGCTCAAGTAGATGTTGGAGAAGAAGCACACCCGGTTCTGCCAGGTCCATGGTCACAGCATTGCAGAAGACCAACCTTAAGCAACTCATCTGCAGTCCCAGCTGATGCTAGCACAGAGCTTCATGGCTTCACGGCTAGAATTCAGACTGATACTGGACACTTCAGGGATGCTCACAAACAGCTTTACAAACAATGAGGTTTAGGAGGAAAAGGTGACAAACTGGTCTCCTCCTGAAGGGCACTGAAAGTGTGGGGATACTCTCAAGGCCACCCCAACCTTCCCACCATGATGCTGCACTCATGCTACCCTTTGTGGCACATCACACAGCTCTGGGCAGACACTGCTCTTAATCAGCAAATGAAACATGCTCAGCTGGGCTAAAAAGATGTTATTTTGGTAAAGAACTGCTTTCCAAACTCCTGTCCCACTTGGCACAGGCTGGCACAAGCACTGGCCGCTGCTTCACAAATTGCGTTTTTTCTCTGACTGAGGCAAAACTTAGTATCTAAATATTTCTGGCACAGCCTGTGTTCCAGAATACCAGCATTAAATCTGTGAACCTAGTTCTGGAATGTCTACTTAAAATATTCACTTCTTCTAGATCCTTCTGTATGCTTGTGCTGGCTGAAGAGCAGCACAGCTTTAGCAAACACAAAGGCAATTTAGACATGATGTTGGGACTGATCTAATTGGTGTATGCATGCACATAGCTGTGAGGGGCAGAAAGCTGTTTCTGTGTTATGTCTGTCTGGTGGCACCTTGCTAGCTGTAAAGTGGGAGGAGATACTAATAGGGAAATTGGTTCAGTCTTTAAACATATGCAGTGTGAGTTGAATGATTACAGACCTGTAAGGGAGCGAAGGTGAGATGAGTGCTTCTACCGACAACAGCGAATAATAACACTGTCAGTCACTGCATGCAACACAAATTGCATGGAAAATTCACTTCTCAAGTAGATTCCAGTCTGACTTTTGATCTTTTGCTTCTCGATTATTGATCATGAACCAGTGGTGCTGTTGGGTAATGCAAAAAGAAACAAAGTGGAGAAACTGTGATTTTTCATTAGAGTTATCCTCCTTGGTTAGAACCATCAGTTGGTGTGTTAGTGACAGACACATCCTATTTTGCATCATGCTAAAAAAAAGCCCATCAGAGCTTGTAACCAGAGATGTTTTGTAGCATATGATCGAACTTGACAGGGTGATTGAGATTGTTTGGTATTTGTAAAGCTCTTACAATGGATTGAGAAACAGCAAAAAGCATTCTCCCAGACAAGTCATTTTACATCAAGTTTTCGTCATAAACAAAAGTGCCCCACAGCAGTGCTGGTCCAACTTTATTAAATAGAAAACCGTGCACAAGAATCAATAAAGATTACTGATTTGCACACAGAGTGATAAACTACATGTATTTTGCAGATGGCTGGGAATGGGTTTAATTTTCTTTTCATATTTTGAAGTTTAAACATGAAATAGGACACACTAGAAATAGTTTTTTCCTTGAAGATTCCCATTTCAGATTAAATTCCATTCCAGTGTCATGAATTTCCAACAACAAACCCTGTTATCAATAAAATCCTGTAGAGAGCAGATTTATGTTTAAAGGAAATTATACTTTGTCCCTGCCCATGGTGGGGGATTGGAACTGAATAATCTTTAAAGTCCTTTCCAACCCAAAACATTCTGTGATTCTATGATTCTATTTCTCTCAGTACAATTTATCAGGTTTTCCTCTATGGTGTCTATTATGAACTCCTGTATGTGGTCCTCTTGATGTAGTAAAACATAGCAGCCTTCCAGTATCTGAAGGGGGCCTATAGGGATGCTGGGGAGGGACTCTTCATTAGGGACTGTAGTGACAGGACAAGGGGTAATGGGTTCAAACTTAAACAGGAGAAGTTTAGATTGGATATAAGGAAGAAGTTCTTTACTGTGAGGGTGCTGAGGCAGTGGAATGGGCTGCCCAGGGAGGTTGTGAATGCTCCATCCCTGGCAGTGTTCAAGGCCAGGTTGGACAGAGCCTTGGGTGACATGGTTTAGTGTGAGGTGTCCCTGCCCATGGCAGGAGGGTTGGAACTTGATGATCTTAAGGTCCTTTCCAACCCTAACTATTCTATGATTCTACTAAAACTGAAACATTGCAGGAATGGCCAGGAAAAATTAACCTGGAATGGCTTTTGTCTCACTTATTATGGGACAGACTTTCAAAAGCATAAAGTATTAATCTGTCTTGGGCCCACCGAAACCTGCTCTTGTTCTAGTAGAATGGGAACAGGCCTACGACACTATTAAGGACTTTGGGTAATAAATTCCTTGTGCGACAGCTAATATTTTGCATTCTGTTCTCATTTAAGCTGAGTATCAAAACCAAGTATCAAAATCCTATAATTGCTTAAGAATCTTGACTATAACTGGAAATAAACTTTCCAAAAACTACCCAGTACTTTAAACATGCACACCAATTTATTATGTCTATAGGCACTGCAGACATGACGGATCAGAAAACCAAAGTTGTGATGTAGTATGTTAAGCTCTTCAGATCTAAAACTGCTTAAAAAAACCAAGTTGCTACAGAAGTTACAGCCACTTGCACACAGTCAATTTGTGTTTATACTGGCAATAATTATACATGTATAAATCCAATCTCAGATTTTCACAAGGACCTTGGGCTTTTCATTTCAACAAAGGGGAAGGAAATCCTCTGGGTTCACACACAAATATACATGGTGCTCTTTAAAAGAAGACAGAAGTCCAAGCATTGCTACAAAAAACTATGTACATCATGTACTAAGCTGTGTTCTGTGTCTTCCAGACAACATGAGTAACTTCAGGGATTTGGGTGATTTACATCAAATTCTCTGTGAGCCAGCCTTATACGTTATGCCAGTGCTCGTACAGAAGCACAACAGATGGAAGGCTAAAGAAAAATACAAAGAGAGACTGGCTAATGGAAAAGCATTGCCTATTATACTTTGAATTCTGCATCTGCTATTTTAGTGGTGCTCAGATGCAATAAAGTCTCATAGCGAGAACATTGTATATCCTCACAGTTATACTGAAGTCTAAGAGAGACCTACATATATCCCCAGAGGAAGAGAGATACAATGAGTGACCTTTGAAAGCAAATATTTGCTTCGCAGTGATGTAAACACTTCAATGCTATAAATACAGGAAAATGAAAATGCTGCAATTTACTGTGGTGAAGACAACACTGCAATAAAATGTTCTTTTTTTAAGCACTCTCACTGTTATTAAAGGACACGTCTATTCTTTCTGTGGATGTCTGTTGCCAGAGGATGACTCCATTGGCATACTCTACTAAAGGAGCTGCAGTCGGTCAATACCACAGTTTATGCTTCTTTCTTGAAGGACTGAAAGAGCTTTCCTACAGTTGTGTGGCATTAGTAGAGCCACTGAAAATCTAA